CGTTTTCGGAAACCGTTGGATCGTTGTCACTGTCGACTACTTGACATGATACATAGAAACAGCGGCTTTGCCTGCTGCCACAGCACGCGATGTATCATCTTTCCTCCTGCTAGACAGAGGGCGTGTGTTCCTCTCCGAAGTCGTCAACGCACCCCGTGCCGAATGCCGTATCTTTCACCAGACTACCACCACCTACCACCCCCAAACCACTGGCTTGATGGAAAGATTCAGCCACACCCTTGGTGAAATGATATGTAAGTATGTTGCCTCAGACCACTCCGATTGGGACCTTATTCTGCCTTTTGTGATGTACGCATACAAGACTGCTCCACAGGTGACTACAGACTTTTCGCCATTTTTGCTCTTACATGGCCGAGACCTTCCTACCACACTAGATACCATTCTGCTCTACCACCCCGCTTTCTCCGAGTGTACACCCGTTTCTGCAGCTGCCCGCCGCGCCAAGGAATGCCGTAAGCTTGCCCAGTCATTCACAACCATTGACCAAGAGACAAAAATCTTGGCGTGACGATGACCACCTGCACCTTCTTTGTTGGGAACATCCTTGTGTGCCTTTGGGTACCAGCAGTCCCAACATGCCTTTCCTCGAAGTTTGTTGAAAAATACCAGGGACCCTGCTGTGTTGTCTCGCAGGCTTCGCCTGTCAACTACATAGCTGAACCCGTTTTGCCATCCACAGACCAGCACTTTCGGGGTCATGAAACCGTTCACGACGTTATTAGGATTTGCTCGTACTCTGTTTTCCGTGAGTCGCCAATATGGCTCCTTTTATGATTGGGGAACGAATCGTAGTGAAGAAGAATGCCCACTACTGCAGCGACATTGACACGTTGGCGCAAAGCGCGAGCTAGCATTGCTTGGTTGCTGCTGCAACGCTGCTCGTATACCCGGCCAGCTTTTGTTGCTTCTGCCTAGATGCTGCTACTGCTTTTCGCCCTACGTTTACAATATATACCTAATAAAATGTTCGGGAAAATGACTGCTGCCATATCTCCATTGGTAGAGCATCGGAGGTGTTATTCAAATATATCAGGTTGGATTTTTGCCAACAGCATCTTTTCGTTAACTTCAATTTCTTCACATTATATTGTCACGGGGTTTTAGTATCGACGAAGACAGAGACTGTAGGTCGAAGATGAAACCGTTAATTTGGACTGAACTTGTGGCCTGTCAACAAAGTGAGATTACAGCAATACGCACTGGTGCCGATAGCGATGAACAGAGCGTCAGCCGTTGATCAATTGACAAGCAGTGAAGCTTCTCAGCATTTATACACGTTTCATAGAATATTCCAGTGTTATCGCTAGTGTCCAAATAGGCTCCAGAATAGTCTGCAGTGTTCGCGAAGTTAGTGTAACTTTAACAAAATGATCTACTGCAGTCCCGAAGCTTTTCGAACACTGCAGACGCGGTTTCCGCTGAGGATTACCGTCAGTGAAACGAGGCAATAACAAAACTTAGGGAGAGTGGTATTGCCCCCCCAAAAAAGCATTGTCCCGATGCTTCAACAAAAGACAAAAGTACAGTAATAAATTAAGAAAATAAATAATAAAACTTGCAATAACGCACAGCAACATTAACAAAATACAGTCCTCAGGTTTGCACATGAAATAGCTTGAGACTCACACTTGGAAAATTTCAGGTCATGCATGGCATCGTTGCGAGTTCGTGATGCCGTCGGGGACAACCTCGTAGTCGAGTGTACCAAGACATCAAACCCCACCCTGTAGGGTTCGAAGTAGCGTCGCAGATGTTTTTCACTGAGACCGCGTTGGTGTATCGGTGCCCATACCCAAAACACGGCCACTAGGCTGGTATTTCACGAAACTTCGTCGGAAGTTGTAACGACGGCGGTCAGTCGCCTGCTGATTTTTTATGTGCAGGCTGTTGGTCTGTGGATAGCATCGGTGACTTGTCTGGCTGTACTTCAGGATCCTTTGAGTTAAGTCCGCCGTAAAGGCTCTGTCCGCCGTAAAGAGCTCTGTCAGTAATGGGGACCTCTGGAGCTCCGTGACTCAGGACGATCTTCTCGACGAAGAACTTTGCTACCTCAGCATGTAGCGCGGGAGGTAGTCGGTAGCTACCATGATCCATTTGTTGCTGGAATTCGACGTCAGGAACGGCCTCAGTAAGTCCGTGCTGATTTGCTGAAATGTCCGGTGAGGTGGCTCGATGAGCTGGAGAAGTCCGGCTGGCCTACTCGGCAGTGTCTTATCTTGTCTTTGGCAATCCCGGCATGTCTTCACATAATGATGGCCTACTCGGCAGTGTCTTGTCTTTGGCAGTCCCAGCATGTCCTCACATAATGAGTGATGTCGACAGAAAGGCATGGCCAGTAGTATTTCTGTAATCTTGCGAGCGTACGGGAAACACCGAGGTGTCCAGCCCTCGGTTCGTTGTGTAGAGCATCCAAAACTTCTGGATGTTGTAATATGGTGCTTGATTGGGCTGGTTGGTGCTGCATGGTAGACAAAGAAAGTGCTTGACAGTGCAAAGGACAGGAGGGAATAAAATAGATGAGAGCAGCCTGTTCTCGTCTCTTCTACCCCCTCCTGTTGTTTGCGCTGTTAACTACTGTCTTCGTCTGCATGTTGTGCTGAAGGTACTACGACGAGGTAGTTGGCTCAAAGCGGCAAAAGGCTTTTCTTTTTTTTTCAGGAGAACGCCATCCCGCAAGAAAAATGACTCAACTCCTCGTTTAAAAACTTTTGGAACGAGGGCGGCCTTGCCCACAAGGTATTCTACAAGGCTCCTGAGTTCCGAGTCCGCTCGTTGTCGCTCAGCGTAGTCGTCGGCACTTATTGTTACCGAGAAGCAGTAATCATCCAGGTTGTCCTTCGGCGGTGGTACAACGGAGGCATGAGACCGACAGTGGGCGTCAGAGTGTTTTCTTCCAGATTTGTAAATGACGGTAACGTCAAATTCCTGAAATATCAGGCTCCACCGTGCGAAGCGACCCGAAGGGTCTTTCAAGATACTGTACTTAAGGCATGGTGGTCGCTCACAACTTTGAAGGGTCTGCCGTAAGCGTAGAAGCGGAACTTCGATGTAGCCCAGATGATCGCAAGGCACTCCTTTTCTGTTGTAGAATAGTAGGCCTCTGTCTTTGATAGCGACCAACTAGCATAACTATTCACTCTTTCCAGTCCGTTAGTCCTCTACACAAGAACTGCGCCTAGTCCTACTCTGCTTGCGTCGGTGTGTATTTCTGTCGCGGCGAATTTGTCGCAATGCGCAAGTAGCAGAGGCGTCTGCAGGCGTTGTTTCAGTTCTTGAAGTGCTTCCTCCTGCGGCATTTCCCACTTAAACTTGACTTCGGTTCTGGTAAGGTTAGGGAGTGGCTCTGCAATGCAGGCGAAGTTTTTGACGAACCGCCTGTAGTAGGTGCACAGGCCAAGAAATGGACGCACGGCCTTCTTGTTTCTGGGCAGCGAGAAGGTGGCGATGGAAGCTGTTTTCTACGGGTCGGGGCGAACTCCGGAATAGCTGATGACGTGGCCTAGGAACAAGAGCTCCTCGTATGTGAAGCGACATTTTTCCGGCTTTAGAGTGAGTCCAGAGCTGTTGATTGCTTGAAGTACGAATTCAAGGCACTGGAGGTGTTCATTGAAGCTCAAGGAAAGCACAACCATGCCGTCGAAGTAAACGAGGCAAGTCTGCCACTTCAAGCCAGCCAGGATTTTATCCATGACTAGTTGGAATGTCGCAGTAGCCGAGAAACGACCAAAGGGCATGACCTTGAGCTCGAGCAGGTTGTCCAGTGTTATGAAGGTGGTTTTTTTATCGGTCTCTCTCGTCGACCTCAATCTGCCAATAGCCGGTCTTGAGGTCCATTGAAGAAAAGTACCCTGCATTGTGAAGTAGATATATGGCGTCGTCTGTCTGGCAGAGAGGGTACACGTCCTCCTTCAAAATCTTGTTTAGGCGGCAGTAGTCAGTAGTCGACGCAGAAGCGTAGGGTTCCGTCCTTCTTCACTAACACAACGGGTCATGCCCATGGACTCTTTGAAAACTGCATAATGTCCCGTAGCATTTCGTTGATCGCATAGCAACGCGTGGGAAGGCGCGGGGCAGTGACCTTCAAAGCAGATGCGCTCAACGCGCACTTGCCGTCTCGCTCGCTAATTGATGATGAAAATGCGCTAAAGTTGCTTAGCTGGCAAGTCTGCCATCATGTACCACTGGCAGACTTGCCAGCGGTACATTATGTATATAAATGGCTCGTGGTTAACAAGTTGAGCAACGTATGCTTTGTGGTTTGCTTAACGCTTTACGGAGTGAGAGGCTGCTGGTTCGGCGCTTCGCTATGAAACTTGTTCTTCCAATTGGTTTCATTTTAATTTGTTGATATATATTTTACAATGTCATATCCGTGACAGATACACGCTTGCAGAGCTGAGGTGGACTTCCAGCATAAAACACTTTCATGTAAAAAAAAAAAAGCCTCTGCAGCTCTGCATCAGCTCCGTGCGCTCCACTAGTGAGGAAAAGGTCAGTTGCCTGGGTGTCATAGTGACCTTTGCACTGCCCGCATGCGCCACACGTGAGATCGTGTCTTTGTCAAGTGCACATCGAGCTTCCTGCCGGAAAAAGCGATATGATTATCCTGCTTGCTACCTCGTGCGTGAATATAAAGTCGTGTCATTACTTACTTTCTAAAACACACGATCATCTGTAAGCGCGTGTACAAAAAAAGGAGCAATATTATCACTGATATCATTCACATAAATCAAAAAGAGCAACTCGCCTATAATTTTTGTCATTCATGCTATTGCTGCAAACACTTGTATGACTGTGCGTTAACTTTAATCCCACTTGAACCAGCGAAATACGTTATAAAGATGATTTTGTTATATGCAGATTTTGTGCATAACTTCAAAAAATAAACTTACTTATTAAATAAAAAGGGAACTGAAGCTAACCCAAAACAATTATTTAGCTTTTCTGTCCAGTGATTGGCAAATTTCTTATTGGTGCAGAGTGCTGCCTGTACATTGTGGGATCCTCACTGACTGGATTTGGGTCCAATAGAAGTGATGCTGATATGTGCCTCGTGATCACCATGGACCAGGTGAGTGTGCTGTGCAGTGTTAATTACACTGCTGCTGGCAGATATTGAGCCTACTCATGTGCAAAAAAGCAATGAAAAGACCATACTGGAGGACACCCAGAGTTCAGGGCAAACGTGTCTACTTAAATCATTAAAAATGAAATATAGTTAAACCTATATATAATGGAATTGATAAATTCTTAGAAAGATTAGTTATAAAGATGATTTTGTTATATGCAAATTCAGTGTGAAAATTAAAAAATTGAATGCACAAATTGAGCAAAAAGGTAGCTGAAGCCATAGCTAACCTAAAACGTTTATTTAGCCGTAAAAACTGCATTATTGTTGCGATAGCATATATAGACACTCTCGGCAAGTTTTTGCTGTCGCCGCAATGTTTCATAACAAGTCTAAGTTGATAATTAACATGCCACCATGCATTGCAAATTCTATGAGCAAGTAAAAGCATGCATGTGCTTCTGAAGCACAGACCAAACGAGCCGGCCCATCTCTATTGCCTGGAGGGCGCATACGATAACATCCCTCCACAAGTTAAAAGAACTGCCACCGAATGCTCAAACAGAAAATATACCACCCATATTGAACGAGCATGAAAAAGCAGGGAGGGAGTGTCGCTCGAGTAGAAACAGTAAAGTTAGATTTGACAGGGGTCCTGCGACTAGAGCTGTGCGCCGCCGCTTGCTCTTGCTCATGCCGTTCGCGTGGCCCCCGAATTTCTGAGAAAAACCACGGTGCTGCCGGAAAATCATTTGCAGAGCGCCGCTGTTTGTCTTATTTTTACCCAAGCGAAGAATCTGGGCATAAAATACATCACTTCATCTTCTTTTCAGCAGCTTTGAGATTTCTGAGAGTGGCATTTGCAGTGTCGTGACTGCTCTCTTGTTTACGTGTTTACATGCACTGTCTATGTAAAGGCCCTAAAGCAGCTTCTGAAGAGACAGTCTAGCGTGTTATTCTCTCTTGGCCATGCTCGTTCTTTTGGCACCCTCTGTGACGCCAGAACAGTGATGCACGAGACATGATTAGGACTCATACTGTAGAATGGTCCATATACGAGAAATATCAGTTGTAAATTGTTTTCTACCCTGCTTTTCCATGCATTTGCCACCTGTCACCCTTGTTCTTCGCAATTCACAGAGTTATCATGCGCGATGAACTTGTGATTTCGCTGAATTTTGTGAGTTTCCGATAGTGCAAGTGGAAATGGAAAAAGTAAAGCTGAGCAGTTCGAAATCCTGATAGGCTCGCCCAACGCTTAGCTCTCACATTGCACACATGCTTCGTCAAGACATAAATGTCGAAGAGCCTGTAAGAATTGTAGGAAAGAGAGGGTAATGCCGTGTAATCGAGAACGAAACCAAAGAAAAAAGTTTAGAAATATACCATTTTCCCATCATACGAATTCTTTACAGTGAAGACAATTCAGCTCTCCATAACAAAGGCCAGCCCGCTTCGACAGTTCTTGTATATTTTTTGATTGCTAGAAGAATTGAATAGACAGTCTCTGCAGGCTTCCATCATTCCTGTCATATCCCGTATAAAGTCCAATAAACTACTTTTGTACACACAATCTATGCTGTTCCCGAAGATAAAATTTCAGGAGCACTTTAGCGAGCAACACTGCTAAAGCATAGATGAAACAAGCTGCCCATCTCCATCATACAGCAACGTCTATTGTTTCTCAACAACTCTCTACCGTCTATTGCCGTCTATTGCTTCTCAACCGAAAAGGAAGCCCTGTCTGCCTTTTGCGAGACGAAGGAGTATGTATAGATATTCAGGTAGGAGGCTGCGTGGCTCGATCCGTCTCTGAGAACTTTGGAATATAAGGGCGTGGTCGCGAGTGCTTGCATGCACTAGCATGTTCACTATTTCAGCAGGCATTAGCGAAAGGCTCATTTACCTTTGTACACGCTATGATATCACTGTACGAACTCAGATTTTTTTTTCTCGGGCGCAGCCGCATTTCCATACACAGTTTCGCGATATCAGATGAAAAAGAGTTAGCTGCAGCCTAAGCTCATTATGAGGCTGCGAGCTCCGATCGCACGCTGTAAAATGTGAAGTCGTCGAAGAGTTTTCTGACCAAAATACTGTTTGCCTTCAACTAGCTAGTTCTGCTCAAAGACCTGGATTTAAACTGTTTCGAACTTTCTTAAAGTTGATAATGCTTCCATACTGGACACTTTAGCCACATCTTTTGAGTAGTTTGAAAGTTGTAGTGAATTTGGTAATGTAGATGCGCTCCTTCTTAAGTTTTGTGATGATGCCTATTAAAGTATGTTTCACACAAATATGTTACAACGAACCCCAGACACCCATGCTACCATGAAAATATAATCCATCTCACTCGTCGCGTAAAGCACTTAAGTAAGAATCGCAGTGATCCAACTCCTGCGCCAACTGCGCCAATGTGTGCCAAATCAGATTTACTGCGCCATCCTGATAATATCAACGAAAATTGTGCCAAACTGCTCCAAAGTCGTGTTTGGGAACGTCTATCACCAGCAATATCCACATCGGCGCGTCAAAACATGCGCATTTTGTTCTCGGGGCTACCAAAGTCACAATCACGTGCTAAGAATTATTCCGCTGAATTAACAGCGGTTGCACCTGCATCCTAGGGATCCATGATGCTATGTTTGATGCTGATGCATCTTCTGTTGTGGAATTTCGCTTAATAGTGAAACACGCTCTCTGCAAGGGCTCGTGACATCTAGTCCAATCAAAGTGCGAAACTGGCAATGATTCTTTGGTGCATTTGTTGGTATCGCAGCCTAATTTCCCCGCGGTTCGCGTCTACAGAAAAACATGTGCACGGTGGAAACGCGATGACGCTTTTCCTTTGATATACTTTATTCATGGATCTTCATTCAGAAGTTTGTTTTCGTAATTCCTTCCACCAGCACATCCGCGTTTGTAATCCCTGTCGCGGTAACAGCTCCTTTAAAAGCCATTTCGAACTCGAGATAGTTAGTGTTCATATTCAAAGTTTTCGCATGATTTTTTAATGTCATCTCATTATTAAAAGCATGCTTCCTGGTTGGAGCATCGGGAATTCAGTTTTAATATGCGCAGCTTTTAATAGGGAGGCTATTGCATGGCAACTCGGGTCGGATGGCTCACGATGAAGCGGCTACGCCTTGTTACACGTCCACCTCTCGCTTTTGAAGGTCAATAGCTGACGGTTAAAAAAATAAACATCACGTCATCGTAATCATAGCTTTTTTTTTTGTTTGAAGGGAGGGGGGAAAGCTGCGTTGCTTGAAGGGCGCATTCACGAGCGTGCTATCTCGAGGCCCCTAGCCACACATATGCGGCCCGAGCACGAGCAGGAGCGCGTCAGCGCGCGCACCCTTAGCGCGACTTGCGAGGAATGGCGATTTACACCCACACACTACTTGGGCAGGCGTGCGCCGGCGCGCGCTTACCCCAACCAGGCGGGAATAGGCGGGTGGGGCCACGTACTGAGCTGTCTGTGAGCTTCGAAGTGATTTATATGAACTTGACCACTCTTCGTAAGTCCAGGTGGTGCTGGACCGAGCCATACCGCATTCCTTATCACAACAAAGCAAACATGAGTCCGTACCGAGTGCACAGCACATAGCTGCTACGTGCACGGCATGCAGTTCACCACCGCAGGTACACACCAAAATCGCCTCAATGTGATCAAGCCCATTGAGTGCTGCTGGTTAAAACTATTCAGCACTACAAAGCATGGACAGACGATCATGAGAACACACTAGAGTGCATGGTGTGCATTGGTGTACGATGTACACGACACGCTGTGCGAAATAGAGCTAAGCGGTCTCATGCAGTCATGTATTGTGACGAAACATATATGAATAGAGCTCGTAAATGAATACATATGGCTGTGAGTGTGATTCTCCTGTATGTAGGGATGTAAAATGTGCACGAAAAGGAAAGAAAAGGCAATCTAAATTGGTTACTACATGCTGAATAGGTCGATGTCTGAGTACAGCCACGGCGTTTCGTATATGCGGAGCTCCAAGCGTGGCCAGCGCAGCTAGACGCATGTCGTCTCAAGGCCGCAATCAGATCGCTGCAGACACTCGTGTACGCACAGCGTTTAGGTGCACTTACGACATATGTGCACAACGTTACTAGAACCAGGTCAGTTTCGCAGCTCCCTGTAGGCGCGTGCTCTTCGAAGTGGCCTGGCCGACGCAAAAACTAGTGGTGCTGTTGTGCCATCTTGCTTCAAGCCGCGCGCGTCTTCTGCTGCACCGCGAATGATCTGCGTTGTAGCAGCTCCAGCCAGTCGCAAGAGCCAAGATTCGCCATTGACACTTGTGCAGTATACTCAACTACTTAAAAAACCTATATTTGTGAAATATTTGCTCCATAATCACCACTAAAATTCGGGAACCTTTTCTAATTGGGGACCGTATTTTTTATTTATATTTTACTCACTTATTTTTCCAAAATCATGTCTAATCATGTCTTACTTACAGTGCCCAAGAGAAGCACCTCTTGGGCACTGTAAGTAAGACATGATTAGAAAAATAAACTGCTCTAAAGACGAGACACAAGAATCGAAGTCCACAGGACGAGTTGTTTGTCCGCGATCATTCTTGTATTCTGGTGACTCGTCTTAAAACGCAGTTTATTTTTCTAATCAGCTGGGCATCTTTCCAGTGTTCATCGGCATGTAAAATTTCCCAACTAAATGGGCACTGTGCTATCACGGAAACACTAGAAATCCAGTTGGCTTGTTGTTACTTTTTTTTTTTGAACGTGTAGCTATCTTTGTCGGGAGAGAATTCTCTCGTGAGAGTAATTAGAGAGTGCTGTTGTCATCCTTCTCTCATGAGAAAGATGGCTAAAATATTACCCATCTCAACTGCATACATTTTTGCTTGGTTATTACCCAGCACTCGTTACTTCAGCGATATCATAAACGACAGCTTTCGCAATGGAGGAAACTCAGCCAGGCTTAAGAGCCAAGATCTCCTCATTTTGTTCTTTTTTTGCGGCAG